TCTTCTCTATATATTCTATCACTGCAAGAATATTTTTAGAAGGTCCGCAAATGGTACCATCATCTAGATACCATATGTTTAAATCTAAATTAAAAGAGGATTTTAGACAATGAACTAGGTTATGTATACCTAAACTAAAGATCAGAGGGCCCAAAGGGTCTCCTTGTTGAATACCTTCGTCAGAAGGAATTGTATATTCCCCGAATTTGAGAGGGGTTCTACTGCCATAAGACTGTTCAATAAATCTTGCATAAACTGGGAATTTTTCATAAAAAATGTTCAAAAATGTTTTTCTGGATAAAGAATTAAAAGCATTTTTAAAATCAAGCTTACAGACTACGGCGTCTGGAGGAGGATCTTCGATATATATGCGAAGAGAGTGAGCGGCTATTTCGCATCCCCCTTTAGTACCAAAGCCTAGTTAATATGTTTGGAACATTTTTGAAGCATCAGGTTTGATGCGCTCAACGATTATCTTAGCTAAAAGTCTCCTAAAAAAGACCCTATTGCAATTGGCCGAACTCCACCATCAGGCTTAGAAAAAGCATTTAATCTTGCGCCAAAAAGAATTTGGTGAATTTGACTAGGTAAATCATTGTTCAATATATTTTCACTAAGTATTATCAATGAATTTACAAATGAATCTTGATAAGGATTTTTAGGGTTAATTAAAAATTGGAAATAAGAACCTTGGTATTTAAATATTATACGAATTGTAAATCCCCTTAATAGCAACAGGGTGTACTTACACGCATACATCCACATACGTTTTAAAAAACACAACAAAATGGAAATCATTGATTAAATAATATTATATTTCAAAATTAAGTAAATGTTGTTTTTTAATTTATATACTTTAATTATATTTTTATAAAATTTAAAATTTTAGCACATCGTTTCTACAATGATTTTTTAATCGATAAAAAATTAGAAAAGTTCAATTAGAGATCTGCACGGGGGGCTGGGCTCGGGCCTATTTTTTATAAATAAATCGGGTTCGGGCTAGGCGGGGCCTTATATTTTTAAAAAATTTGGGCCGGGTCGGGCTTTGGAAATTTTTTTTAATATATCTAAATTTATCAATTTTATGTTGAATTTTTAATGTAAAATAAAAATATTAGATTTTATTTATAGAAACTAGATGTCATATAACATATATCAAATATTTTGAATAATTATAAAAATTAATTTCTATATTTAAATAAATTTGAGCCGGGCCGGCAAAACTTTTTAAAAAAATTTTGAGTTCGGGCCGGGCCGGCAAAACATTTTAAAAAAATTTCGGGCTGGGCCGGGCTTGAAAAATTAGGCCCATGCAGATCACTAAGTTAAATAGCTATAAAACTATGGTTATCCCAACCTTAAATTTTTTCAATATAAATTTATAAAGATTATACCAATATTTAGAAAATTTTATTTAAAAAAATGACAGGAAAAAACACCTGGGATTTTTTTAAAAAAATTAAAATTATTTTTAAGAAAGGGATTTAATGGCTATCTAATGATACTAAATACAGATCTCTATCACTTATATTTTTTGAGTAATCTTTAATCCGAATTAGGAAAGACTCCTAGCTTTGACCCGCCATATCTCCAGAACTAATAGTTAGAACTTTGTATAGGTCATCACAACATATATAATCATTAGCGGTGTGCCGATCCACAAATTTTTTACCTATTCGAATCGATCAAATATTACTATAAAACCGATCCCATATTTATATTGTTTTTAGCTACCATTTATCTTTGAACCATTGTCAAAATAGTATTTTATAATAAAACCCAACTAATTTTCACCAATGATTAAGTGTAATTTTTTAAATTTTATTTTCTAAAAGTTATTCATCTCATTAAAATATGGGGCAATGTTTATAGCCGAATGTAGTACGATTTCCGATTTTAAAAACGACTGTAAAAAAAAATAATGTCACGTGTGAGCAAAATCTCCAAACTTGGAGAATTTTATTCTGGCTAAAATCTTGAATTAGCCGTTTTCAAAAATCGACTAAATCGAATAACAACACTAGCTGAATGTGACTTGTTAGATATTGTCGTATTGGGATATGGAATTTTATTTGGAATCTTTTTTTCAAAATATTTTTAAAAAATATTCCGAATCCCCATGTATATATTTTTAAAACTTTTAAATTATATTTTTTTCTTCCTTTTTTTGCCGTCTGGCTGGCACCAGAAAATTTCATTTTTTAGAGATATTTTTTTTTCTGTTTTTGTAAATTTATATCGTTATGCAATTGGAAAATGAGCTACAATAAATAATTTTTTATAATTCGGATTTTTTAAAAATATATATTCAGGTGAAAATTTTAATGATTTTATTTTATATAAATTTACAAAAACTGAAAATAAAATATCTCTAACAATGGAATTTTCTGGTGCCAGCCAGACGGCAAAAAAGGAAGAAAAAATATAATTTAAAAGTTTTAAAAAAATATACATGGGGATTCGGAATATTTTTTAAATATATTTTTTAAAAATATTTTAAAAAAAAGATTCTGAATAAAACATGGGGATTCAAGATCTCGAATCCCCACGTAGGGATTCCGAATCCCACATGATTTCGTATCCCAATACGACATATACAATCATAAAATAACTTAAAATAACTTAAAATAATAAAAATATAAGATCAAATTTGTTTTTTTAGAAAATATCGACACAATCCAATATTTTCAAAAACTTTAAATAGAGGCCCCGATCCAATCCTATATTTTATATCAGCACATCTCTATTAAGTGCAAAATTTCATTCGATTTGGAAGAGGGGCACGAAACCTGATAGATTTCACTTGGATGATTATTATATAAATAAATGATCAATATTTATAACTTTTACATTGATGAAGTATAACTGAATAAATATAAAATTATTATTAAAACTTAACGGTAGTATTATTTTAAATGACTTATGTTATGGTCATTAAATAATCATAGATGATGATATACTAAAGGTAGATGGATAAATAAAAAAATAATAAATATATATAATGAAGAAAATCGATTCTTAATATCGGACTAAATTTATAACTTTTCAGCGATAAAATTTTGCATGCTGAGTTAGAGAGCATCGACCAAAATTTTAGCTCCTAGTACTCAGACAGAGTTCCTTAGATATCAATAGTCAAAAGTGCCAAAAATCACCTTTTTTCGAAAAATACGATTTTTTAAAATTGAAATAAGTTAAAAAATAAAAATTATATCTCATTTTCTAACTCTATTAAAAACCTTTTATTAAATATTAAGGATTTTATTTAAATAATATTGATGCTGTTTTTATTTTCGTTATAAAATTTGAACATGAAAACTCCAGTGTTTCGCTTTCCAAATATTTAATATTTTATTATTCACTTACATTATATCTATTTATAAAAAAATTTAGACTTCAGACAACCATTGCTATTTTTTAAAAACGGAACATTTTTTCAAAAAAAAATACCGCGTTTTGTTAAAATTATTTTTTTAAATTTTTTTCCATTTTAAACATAAAGATTTTTCAGCATTAATATTATGAAATAAGGTTAGTGCCATTATAATCATTTTTTTCTTAAAAATTTTAATTTTAGTAAAATAATTTTATTAATTTAAATATAATAGATTATTCATGAAAGATATTACCTATTTTCAGGTTTTCGTTAAATTTAGTTTCTTTGACATCTTGATAATTTCACTTTGTGATAAATTATATGCACTCCCAGTAACCGTTGATGGGCTCACTATTGTTAAAATATTATTCTTTGGTATGAAAAGGAGTTTGTGTCGTTGGGTAAACAAATGAATTTGCTAGTCCTTTAAGGATGAAGAAAATTAATTTTCATTTCATTTCTAATTACATTCACTTCTTGTACAAATCCTAACCACCAATCGTTTTCATACATTCAAGTCACATATCCTCTAATTTCATCAATTAACAGATCCTCACATGGATATACTATATTCTTCACGATAAATGTCTGCGAATTAGGATATAGTTTAGTGTTGAGCTTAGTTAAACGAATCAGAAACACTGCATTTATTTTTTATGTCCCAGGTATTGAGATAGATTTGCTAAATCTCTCACTTAGCCTTATTCTCTTCTTCTTCATAATCTGGTATAGTGGCATAAGAAAAATTTATACCTTTTATATGCTCTTCCGCATATTTATAAAATTGTAAAGGCGAAAAATATTTGATCAGTATAAGGTATTTGTAAGCTTGCCTTGGTAAGTAACCTTTTTACTGTGTCGCCTATATCGTCGCAGGCACTTTTACCATGTGTCGTAGGAAAGAAATGTCATTCTGCTTGAACACCAAAATCGATTTAATGGTGACAAACATTGATGAAGTTTTTCCTATTTTTATATTGCGCTGTTGAATTATCAGCAAAGTAAGGAATTTTTTCTGGCGGAGTGTCGAATTTATTATTTTTAAAATGAAATTGCGATTGGAATAAATGGAATGAAACAGTATTATGAATTAAGGATTCCGATATTATCACAAACCTAAGTATTTATTGGTTCTCCTATTTTATAATAGAATATATGCAACTTAACTCTCGAAGTTGTCCAATGATAACCCTGAACTTTGTCTTGGATAATAAAGGAATAATTTTCTGAAAAGTCACAAATAAAGTGATTTTTTTTAAAACTATTTTTAAGGTTATTGTGAAATGACTTTGTTGTTCACATATATGAATGGCGTATGAGAATATTCATTTTATCGAAAAATAATTAATAAATTCGTCTGAAGAAAAAAAATAGTCTCCTACGTTGTTCTATTTACCGGTCAGGGCAGACTTGGGGGGCGAACAGGACCCCGAAATTAGACAATTTTAAGGGCTGCTAATTTTACTTAATTATTTTGCAGTTTGGAAGAGGAAAAATGAGTTATATTACGATTTTCTCTTAAGTTTAATTAAGAAGGAAGTGGAAATATAATGTATACGATTTAAATAAAAGGAATCAAAGTTAGCCATTTTCCATTTTATTTAATAATTTTTTTCGATAGATCTCACTTCAGCCCAAATCGAAGCTATTATGGATTTTTTGGAAAAATTTGTTTTTTTGTCTGTTTACCAGGACGTCTTTCACGCTATTTCCACCAAAGAGGAAATCAAGGATTTAGAAATTCAAGATAAGATTAGACGCCTTTCCACTTGGTTCTGTTCTCAGTTACTGGACGATATAGGGATAGATGAAAAAGATCCGTCTATTCAAGATTACATGGACCAAGCTATTACAGGTGAGATTTTACAATAACTATTTTTATTTGCTCAAATTCAAAAATTATTATTTGGATAATTTTAGAGCGAGGCTGCTTTGGGCTAGCTTGATAATTACCAATTTGTAGCTTAATTCCCCTTCTTAGTTATTTTTGTTTTACTCATTTTATTTTGAGAAATATATAAATGGCCTTAGTGAGAAAAATTTTCATATGTGTGAAGGTGATATATTCAAGGTTCAAAAAGTTGGATCCGTTTTAATTTTTACAATTGTTTGTCCTTATGGTTTCTGTCACGATCCTACACTTTATTTTAGTTTTACTTGTGCCACTTACTATTAAATTACCCTTATTAAAGAAAGCATGGTCTGCCGACCCGTAAAATATATTTTGTGCATCCGACTCGGCCCATAATAATTTTTTATATGGAAAACGACATAAATTTGCCTAATTATTATCTATAAAATTATTTTCAAAACTTCTTCCCCGTCCAAATTTTTTTTTAAACAAAGCCTGGTCCGAAAATAATTTTTCTCCGCGTGATAGGCTGCGCCGTATTCTATATTCTTATTAAATTTTAAATCTTAATATTAATTAGTTCTTGAGATAGTACTATTTAATTAAAGGTTATTTTTTAAAAATAAAAACTCTTCAGATTTAAATAAATTTTATCAATTTAGAGTAGCGGTCTGGTCTGTTAAAAAATTTTTCACAAGTTGCACGGCCCGTTAATTTTTTTGCCTGGCCCGTTAAAATTTTTAAAAATTCTCCCCGGCCCGTTAATTTTTTTAGAATTTTCCGGCTATCACATTCTAAATATCTGTATCTAATTTTTTCCTAATGTCAATTAAGGCTCTTATATCTCCTTTATGGCTGCCTTTTACAGCAACCATTTTATAAATCTTGTATATAATTGGATCATATATTATAAATCACTTGTTTAATTTTTTGTGAATTTGATATATTATTTATAGATTTAATATTGCTAAACATCTCTTTAAATTAAATACAAAGAAATAGCATATATTATAATTTATTTTCAAATAATATTAACTATTATCAAGATCAAAATTTTAATTCCTGGTCTGGTCTATTAAAATTTTACAAAAAATCAGATCTGCTAGGCCCTTCCTGATTTTTTATGTATAAATTGCCCGACTCGGCCTGTTATAATTTTTTGCTCTTATTTTTCTAAACAAAAACTCCACATATCGCCTGATGGAAAAAAATACCTATTATAATTGTTTTAAATTTCACCATAACCAATCTATCTTATTTTGATATAACATCTTTCAAAGATGCCACAAATTATTTGACTAATTTTTTATGCGACCGCTACTAAATTATGAGAGTATCAAAGATACAGTCAGTGATAGTGTTGTTAAATTGCTCGATTTCGCCTATTTTTAAAAACATCAAAATCATGATTTTAGTCAAAATATCAGAGTTGTTAAAAGATACTTTTTAAATGGATCTAGATACAGATACATAGTCTCAAAAGTTATCTAGATACAGATAAAGATACAGCGTCTAAAAAGTTATCAAGATACAGATACAATTTTTAAATGTATCTGTACACAGATACATTTTTTTATGCTCTTATAGGTTTGCATAAACCTAAATTAATATTATATTGTGAAAATTCATGAAATGAGCTAAAAATTTATTGACGCGATAAAACATTTATCAGAATATAACTAAAATTATAATTTTAATATAATATATGAAAATATATGATTAAATAATTATTAGATTTCAGTAATAAAATATTTTCAAAATTTTGATCATTTAGGCATCCTCGTTTATCTGTGAAGACATTTTTAGCAACACTAAATAGTCTTTCCACAGGGGCGCTTGAAGGAATTGTAGTGTTATATTTAATAAATAACAATTTTATATCAGTTCTTTAAAAATGCTAAAATCTCTACATTTATTTTTGAAAAAGTTATTTAAAATTTGTTGATTATCAAAATTTAAATCATTATTAGAAATTATATCTGCTGTAGGGTACTGAAAAAAATCTGAAATTAAATTATTTGTTTTTTTTGGCAGGTTATTTGCTTGCAGTCAGTTGATGACTTTGATAATTCACCAGCTAATCTTTGTATCAATTGTTTTCTTTTATAATGGCTGCATGCCATCTATAATAAAAGCAATAATTAAATCATCTAAAGTGCCTTGAGTTAAAGTCAAAGGTCTTTTAGCAAAAATATTATTGGAGGATGAGCCTTGCCAATATTTTCTTTAGTATTTTATTTTCCTTCCCCTTTTTTATTTTTGTTAACAAGGTTGGATATTTTCTCTTAAAATTTTAATTAGAATTTTAAATATATAATATCTATACCCTTATGTGCTTCACGATATTGCACGTTGAAGTCATACTGACGGATATTTTTGAATTTTTAGGTAGACACGGCAAACCTTTTACCATCAGAGAATTAATTGTTTTCTTTGTTTTGAGATATAATTTTAAAATATGCTCAATTTGGCAATGGTAAAGCAATAGAACTTGTTGCTTCCTCTTCTTCATCGATATAGATCTAAATAAATATATAAACTTAAAAATTTAGTTATAAAATAAAATTTACCATTTCCATATTGTAATATTAAAATTTGTATGGTTTATTGATAAACTCGGACATAATATTTAAATTAATGAATATTTATATATATTTTTTATATATAAGTTTTAATATTTTATGTATATATAATTCTTTATTATAGTATTAATAAATATTAATATATAATATATATATATTTATTTATTTCATAAGCTCATATGAAATAAAATAAATTTTACAGTCAAATATTTTTATTTATAATAAAAAAAGGGGTATATAAAATGTATCTTAAAAAGTATCTAAAAACAGATACAGATACCTCTAAAAAAATATCTAGATACAGATACAGATACCTTTCTAAAAAATCTATCTTGATACAGATACAGATACTACATTTTTATATCTAGATACAGTATCTAGATACTTTAACAACTCTGCAAAATATTATACCTAAGTCTTAAAATTTCCCTAACGGATGTCCAGACCTTCTGTCATCTGTCGAAAAAATCGATAAATTTGCCAACACTTCTAAGATATCAAGTCTCATATTTTAAAATTAAGATGAAAAGTTGTTTTTTATAATGATGATAGTTATATTTTTTTTAGATATTTCATTTAATTTTTTTATTTTAATTGCTTTCATGCTTCTATATTCTTCTTCTATCTTAAATCTTGATACGTTAGTATTTTGTTAATAAATTTTTTATGCTTAACATAGGATTGAAGATTAAACTAAAATACAACTTGATTTAGAATTAGTGCTCTCAAAAGTTTGGCAAACTTCATTCTATAAGGACTGCGTTTAAATGATTCAGATTCATAAATAATTTTTTGGAAATATAATGAGATTTACACTATTTTATTTCTATAACTATTAAATAAACCGAAAAGAACAAATAATATCTAGAAAGATCATAAAAGCATAAGATTCAAAAATATTTTGAATCGGAGAAAAAGAAACCGTAATGTATTTGATTTTTGAATCGCAATTATTGTTTATTTCGCTAATTGGTTTTTGTTTATTAACTGGAAAAACTGATGAATTAGTAAGTATTAATCAGGCTACATATGGCATGGGCTCACCCAAAAATATGCAGTGAATCTATAATGCTTATTCTCGCATTTTGCCAATCTTGGTAGTTTTTTCTTAATTTGTTACTAATGAGTTATCTTTAAACTATCTACCAAACAGATTGAAACATTAATGTAATAAATATGCACTAATTATTGATATATGTTTCAGAATGCTTCCAGTTTGTTGATTTCACGATTAAGACGTGATATAGATTTCATTAAACTTATACTGCGGTTTCTTTTTTATATGTGGGAAAATTGATTGAAGAATTAATAAACATTAGCACAAATCAGCTATTTAGTTCTTTTATATTTTCCATTCTATCATGATGCCAATTTTGGCCATTTTTTCTAATTGACTAATAACCTTTTTCTTTATACTGTCTATTAAACGGTTTAAAATAATATACACGAAACCGATAAAATTTTCAAAATATCTTTCAGTCGCTTTAAATCGTAAGATTGCCAAAATTTTATTACTAATAATTTTTTCCTTTAAACTGACTACTATCAGACCCAATTCTAGCTTCAGCAATTTTTGCAATTAAAAAAAATTTTCGACACCATATAACGAATATTTAATTTGACCACAAGATTGAAATATACGATTTTATTTTAAAAATATATAATAATCAAATATGTTAATAAAATTAGAAGGAAGATAAGAATTGACTTATAGCTGGAAAGAAATAAGTTGATTTAATGATTTTACTAGTGCTGTAAAGAAATAAATTGATTTAATGATTTTACTAGTGCTGTAAAGTAACGTCAAAAAAGGTAACAACGCCATTCGTTACCTTCTATTAGAGGTAACGGTAACGCTTTTCTTTTTTTGAACATATTTTATTATATTATAAAAATACTTTTATTTATTTTTGTCGAGTTATTAATTCACATCATCCACCAAATTTCCTCATTTTTATTTTAAATTTTCTTTGTTAAATTTTCAGTCAAGATTATTAATCTAACTAATATTGAATTAATCAATGTATGTAAATTTATATTCTTATTCTTATTCTTATTAATATTATAATTTATTTTATAAAGAATAGTATGTCAATTGTACATTTTCTTCTGATGAAAATGAGTAAGGCATGCATTGGCTCCAATATGAAACATTTTTTACACTAATAAAAAAAATTAAGGGCACAACGTTTATACTTTATAAGTGTAAATTGTGTCCCAACTCAGATATTTTAACCTCAATTGTAGAATAAACATGGACATCCTCCATACTGTACAGCCATTTTTAAGGAAAAAATTTGATATCTGATTAAACTAGTTATAATAAGATTAAAATCTTTCTATAACTCCCTGAAATTAATATAATCGTCTTATTAAGGAGAATGGGTAAAAATTTGAGGAATCTTGTTATAAATTCAAATTACAGAGATTTTCAGATAATGACTATGATAATTATACACTATAAAAAAATTAACCGTTATTGTGAAAATTATATACTATAAAAAACTCTACCAGTAGTACAACGCCATTTTATAACTCTAACGATTAACCAACACAACTCTAGATATATAAAATCAGGCGACTATTTATAAATTTGATAAATATTAAACAAAATAATTTTAAATAATAATATGAAAGGCCCTTCATAAATGAGCTCATTAGACCCCCATATTGTTGGCCCCGTTGTGATTTTAGAATATGCATACTTTTAGAAATCTTCATCATGGGTTCTCTCAATCGTGTCAAATATTCAGTTTTATATTGAGTCTATTACTAATTATCATTAATTCCATTATTTTATTATCAATTAACCATCAAATATGATTCATAATTTTCGAGAATATACATTTTTTTATTTAACTTACCACATTCGATTCCTTATTCTGAATAATATAGAATTCCATAATATTTCACAAGAACCACATGGATTTATCTTCCTTCCCATATCTTTGATTGTATAGTGGGTTCCTTCCAATAGTTTCGCTGAAGTAGGAATTGGCTGCATAGTTTATGATCGAATATTAGTTATCTTGAACCAACTTTAATGATTTGTCTCCGTAATCCTCAACGAGTTTGAACGAATTTTAGTTATGTGTAGGGGAGACCAGGGCTAGTCGGCACAATTTTTGTCAAAATCATCATAGCTCCGAAAATAATGATCGTATAAGATCCTACAAAATACTAATCAATACCTTAAACATCTACCTATAAATATATACTGTTACATTTTTTAAATATTTAATAGTTTTTTCTCTAAAAAAGATTTAGTAAAAGTCATTTTTTGAACCGAGTAGACCCAAACCCGTGGCTAGTCGGATCATCGATGGGGCTAGTCGAATCAAGTGGTTTATTAGGCTTCTTATGAGGCAAAAATTTTTTTTTTCATATTTTAATATATAACTACGATGCTTTATTTGTATAATATTCTATTTACAATTATAACATATAAAATAACAATCTTTTTTGGCACATGACCCATGCGCCCAACCTTTACATACTCGACATTGAAACCAATCCTCAAAATTATGAAAATTTTTATAATCTTGTTTACATATAATACACACATCTTTTATTAATTTTTTAACAATATTTTTTTTTGATTTTTTATTCTTTTCTTTTAATAAAAGTTCCCTCTTGAATGGGGATGAGGTAAAGATCTCAGCCTTTTTTTTCCTTGATCCTTTAGTTTGCGAATTACCAGATGAGATTGATATCGGAGTAAATGACGGACCTGGGAGAGTATTGTTTGAAGGGATAGTATCCTTAATTGAGATGTTAGTAGAGGGGCTAGGAATAGAAGAAAAAGTGTTGGGAAGAGAATTAGTAGAAGAGCTAGGAATTAACTTAATTGACGAATTTGAAGGCGGATGTCCTGAACTTTCTCTTAATATAAACGATCTTTCATCATTTGATGAAGGAATAAAATCCTCCTCCCGAAAAATATTTTCATTGTAGGGATATATTCCACAAGATTCAAATCCCTTTTGAATATTTTTTGAAGAGGCTGCTAAAGGTAAAATATCCTTTACAATAGAGGGAATATCATAAAGAGAAAAAGAGATTCCACGATGATTTCGCAATTATGAATCTATCCCATTATTATAAAATTTTTTTAAAGGCCCATAGACTGTCCTGTCGAAGGGTTGCAATTTATGAGTACAGTGTGGAGGAAGAGATAAAAGTATTATACCATTATCTATACAATATTGAATCGCATTATATGATTGGTGGGATATATGATTATCCAAAATTAGTAAAATTTTAAATTTTTGGCTACATCTTGTATGAGAAACAATGTGACTTAAAAACATAATAAATTCCTCCTCTTGCATCCAACCCGATCCGTTGGATGCGCCAATACATCCCTGAGGACCGTCTCCAAAATGATTATAATATTTTTTACGCGGAAAAATAAACATCGGGGGAATATAATTCCCTAAAGCGTTACCAGCGCCATTGTTACTAGAGTGCCTCGCTCTGCGGAAGTGATGGATCCGACTTGTTTCTGACCCTTCTGCGCAACAATTTTTGATGGATTTTGCACAGTTGTCAATCCTGTTTCGTCCATATTGTAAATTGACATAGGTCTTAATTCTTCTTTATCTAGTTTTCCCTTATAAAGATTAAAAAAATATAGAACAGCCTCTTGATTAAAACCAGCCGCTCGAGCTAAACTTGTAGCTTCCGGAGATCTTAGAGATAATCTTGGATTTCTTCTCATAAATGAAGAAAACCATTCTTCACGATTTTGGTATTTTTTTGTTATTGAATAGCATGATAATATGCTTGAATTTTTATCTAAATATAAAATAAATAATTTTAGTATAATTTTTTAAATACCTTTTTAACGGATAAACCATAAAAGGTTTTACTACATGCAATTAGATATTCAACAATTTTATTTTCTTCATCATCATCAAAAAATTTTTGTTTATTATCTTGGCCTATCTTGGGCATAGTGCCAACCAGTTTGTATTTTTTGTAATATCTTAAAAAATTTGTTGCAGGTATACCTAATAAAATATATAATAAATTTACTCAAAATTTATCTAATTGTATATTTAAATATATAACATCATTTGAATATCCTGAAAACTAAAATGTTCATATCCAATAAGATGTATTAATTTGAATCATATTATACTGTTAATTATAATTAATATATATAAATATTTGTTTGCTTCACATAATTTATATTAAAAAATTGATCTTATTATCAAGCTATTTACTAAAATGTTCATATCCAATAAGATGTATTAATTTGAATCATATTATACTGTCATAATTTATATTAAATAATTGATCTTATTATCAGGCCAAAATTTATATATGCAATATATCTATGACAATATATATTTAATTATCACAATATATATATGTTAGCGGCAATGTGAAAATTCCGGCAATGTGAAAATTTTTTCGGCAATGTGAGGTAGTGGTAGGCAATGTAAATGATTGCCGAAATACCCCGGCAATGTGAACATTGCCTGGTTATTTTAGGCAATGTGTTATTTTTGTAATATTATATTATTAATAATTTTGTTTTTATTATTAATAATTTTTTTAAGATTAAAATTTTATTTGATAATTTATATTATTTTTTTAGATATATTAATATGTTTTTTAAAATATATTATTTGATTGATATTTTTTTTTAAATATATTGAAATATATTATAATATATTTTAATTTGTTATATTAATTTTTTATATATTTTTTGATTGATATTTTTTAATATAATGGTTTTTTTATGTATTTATTTTTCACGTAAATTTTTTTTTGATAGCTAAATTTTTTTTTATTTGTGTTATTATTATTTATTTAAATATATTTTTTGATTGATATTTTTTTTTAAAGATAAGATATTTTAATTTGTCATAATTTTTTTAAATATATTTTTTGATTGATATTTTTTTTAAATGATTTTTATATAATTTATTTTTAACGTAATTTTTTCTATTTTATATCTTTTGATTCCTAATTTTATAAGTAAAAGTGACAAAAGGTATAATCGTAATTTTTGAACTTTTTTAAGTTTTTAAAAGCAATTTTCAGTGAAGATGTATTATAGAAAAGTGACAATTGTCATAATCGTTATTTTTGAACATTTTTTAGTTTTTTTAAAGTAAATAGGTAAAAATATGTTTTGTAAAAATGTTAAATTAATATTTCAGTGAAGATGTACTATGGAAAAGTGACAATTGTCATAATCGTTATTTTGAACATTTTTTAGTTTTTTTAAAGTAAATAGGTAAAAATATGTTTTGTAAAAAACTTAAATTAATATTTAAGTGAAGATGTACTATGGAAAAGTGACAATTGTCATAATCGTTATTTTTGAACTTTTTTGATTTTTTTTAAAGTAAATAGTTAAAATTATGTTTTGTAAAAATATTAAATTAATATTTCAGTGAAGATGTACTATGGAAAAGTGATAATTGTCATAATCGTTATTTTTGAACTTTTTTGATTTTTTTTAAAGTAAATAGGTAAAAATATGTTTTGTAAAAATGTTAAATTAATATTTCAGTGAAGATGTACTATGGAAAAGTGACAATTGTCATAATCGTTATTTTTGAACATTTTTTAGTTTTTTTAAAGTAAATAGGTAAAAATATGTTTTGTAAAAATGTTAAATTAATATTTCAGTGAAGATGTACTATGGAAAAGTGACAATTGTCATAATCGTTATTTTTGAACTTTTTTGATTTTTTTTAAAGTAAATAGTTAAAATTATGTTTTGTAAAAATGTTAAATTAATATTTCAGTGAAGATGTACTATGGAAAAGTGACAATTGTCATAATCGTTATTTTTGAACTTTTTTGATTTTTTTTAAAGTAAATAGTTAAAATTATGTTTTGTAAACATGTTAAATTAATATTTCAGTGAAGATGTAATATGGAAAATTGACAATTGTCAAAATGGTTATTTTTGAACTTTTTTGATTTTTTTTAAAGTAAATAGTTAAAATTATTTGTAAACATGTTAAATTAATATTTCAGTGAAGATGTACTATGGAAAAGTGACAATTGTCATAATGGTTATTTTTGAACTTCTTTGATTTTTTTTAAAGTAAATAGTTAAAATTATGTTTTGTAAAAATGTTAAATTAATATTTCAGTGAAGATGTACTATGGAAAAGTGACAATTGTCATAATCGTTATTTTTAACATTTTTTAGTTTTTTTAAAGTAAATAGATAAAAATATGTTTAGTAAACGTGTTAATTAAAATTTCAGTTTAGATATGTTTTATATTATATAGACACTAACAGGAATATTAACATTAAAATTCCTAAATTCGCTATTATTTATATATTGAAAATTAAAGATGAATTATTTTCCTGTAAATCGTCAATGCCTTGATTTGATTAATCTCGAGATTTCAGCATGAATACATTAATGACCTCAAATGATAAAAAATTTTACTATTACGATTACACCTTAATCTTCATAGCAGCCGGAAATGTTTTTTAACATAATTTATAATAGTAGACCGATGTATAAATAAAATATTTTTAGGATTAATCTATTTTTTTCTAAAATATTAACTGCGAAATATTTAAATATAGAATCCTGCATCGGTTATTTGTATATCAACTAACTATAATATCTTTGACTTATTTATTTCAATTCTGTGAGTAAATATATTTTAAAGATTTATTCACTTTAGTGAACTATCTAAAATTACAAGTTAGAGCTATTGAGATGTATATCTATCACTAAATACATTTTCATGAATATATTTATAAACGAAATAAATTTTAGCAATTAACTATGTTGCAATATAGCGTACATTAAATACTATTAGCCCTTATATTTATTACTAAGATTATGCGTCAAACATTATAAGTTCATCTAAGATTTTTTCGAGAAATAAAGGCCTTTGAGTAACTTTTTTTATACTATATTTTATTGATAAATGCTAGGCTTTTTGTTTGAAGGCCTTTGGCCAGTTATTGTTTTAAATTTTCTTTAGGTTTATACTCTTTTTTTAAAAAAAAATTTCTCACAAATTTTATAAGGTCGTTATTTTTAAAATTTTTGTGACATAGTGGTATATTCTTAATTATTTTTATACAATGCTTCAGGTTTTCATAATACCTTATTTAGAAAAATAATTTGTCTAATTTATAGATAATTTGGCTGATAAAGAGATGAAACTCTATGAGGATCAACTAGGCTATTTTGCCAATTTATCCGGTTTATATATTCAATATTTTGCAAAATAATAAATATTATTTTATAGAAAGCGCTCGTAAACACATGGTATACTCGAATGAATTGGATAATGACGGTATTTAGAAAAATATATAAAATTTCATAAAAATGATTTTTTAGGTTATCCAATTGGTCCAATCTTTAAATACAATTTCCGCCAATCAAATTATTATACTTTCTATATTGATTAATTATAACTTATATAAAAAATGTAAATACATCCAGGGCGATTATTATAATAACATTTTTTAAAAATTTTTATGATAAAATGTTTATAATATTTTAATTTTATAGGCGCCATTGATGAAGAAGATAAAGCATCAACGTCGGCAAACATTGTGGTTTGTAAATGCAAACAAAATTGCAGGACAAATAGATGTAAATGCAAGGCATCTAATGTGTCCTGCAATTCAAATTGTCATACAAAAAATAATTTATGTCAAAATAAATGATTCATTTATATTTATATTGAATTATATAGTAATAAAAAATGTGTATTGTAAATATTGTTTTTTCTATTATGAAGATATAGTCTTATAGGGAAGGCTTGCTACCAGATATCCATTAATAATATGGCGTAAAAATGTATTTTAACATAATATTAAGTTGCGTATAAAGTTGGGGAAAGGGGGGAAGTAAAAAATTCCCACCCATTTTACCAAATATGTCTGATTTAAAAATAATTAAGAATATACCACTATGTCACAAAAATATTAAAAATAACGACCTTATAAAATTTGTGAGAAATTTTTTTTTAAAAAAAGAGTATAAACCTAAAGAAAATTTAAAACAATAACTGGCCAAAGGCCTTCAAACAGAGAGCCTAGCATTTATCAATAAAATATAGTATAAAAAAAGTTACTCAAAGGCCTTTATTTCTCGAAAAAATCTTAGATGAACTTATAATGTTTGACGCATAATCTTAGTAATAAATATAAGGGCTAATAGTATTTAATGTACGCTATATTGCAACATAGTTAATTGCTAAAATTTATTTCGTTTATAAATATATTCATGAAAATGTATTTAGTGATAGATACACATCTCAATAGCTCTAAATTGTAATTTTAGATAGTTCACTAAAGTGAATAAATATTTAAAATATATTTACTCACAGAATTGAAATAAATAAGTCAAAGATATTATAGTTAGTTGATATACAAATAACCAATGCAGGATTCTATATTTAAATATTTCGCAGTTAATATTTTAGAAAAAAATAGATTAATCCTAAAAATATTTTATTTATGCATCGGTCTACTATTATAAATTATGTTAAAAAACATTTCCGGCTGCTATGAAGATTAAGGTGTAATCGTAATAGTAAAATTTTTTATCATTTGAGGTCATTAATGTATTCATGCTGAAATCTCGAGATTAATCAAATCAAGGCATTGACGATTTACAGGAAAATAATTCATCTTTAATTTTCAATATATAAATAATAGCGAATTTAGGAATTTTAATGTTAATATTCCTGTTAGTGTCTATATAATATAAAACATATCTAAACTGAAATTTTAATTTAACACGTTTACTAAACATATTTTTATCTATTTACTTTAAAAAAACTAAAAAATGTTCAAAAATAACGATTATGACAATTGTCACTTTTCCATAGTACATCTTCACTGAAATATTAATTTAACATGTTTACAATTAATTTAAACTATTTACTTTAAAAAAAATCAAAAAAGTTCAAAAATAACCATTATGACAATTGTCACTTTTCCATAGTACATCTTCACTGAAATATTAATTTAACATTTTTACAAAACATAATTTTAACTATTTACTTTAAAAAAAATCAAAAAAGTTCAAAAATAACGATTATGACAATTGTCACTTTTCCATAGTACATCTTCACTGAAATATTAATTTAACATTTTTACAA